AATAACATACGATATATTTATGTCCCTAAATCCCTGTAGTTTTTACACACTCTACCTTCAAGTTTCATCATAAAGTTTATTTTATCCATCGAACCAAAAAGGTTTCAGAGTAAACAAGAACACAATTCATGTTTCCCTTAAGGTAAAAAATCTAAAATATTGATTTTTAACCCTAAATAATTTGTCTTCTTATTTTTTGGTTTGTGTTTAAATATATTTGCATGATTTTTTGTTTTTTCAAAACTGAAACATCCCAAAAAAGTAAAAAAAAAAAAATGTTGAATTGAAAAAGCTTCCTGGATGGGAAGCGAAACGTCTTAAAACTTGGAAACAAAGTCCAGTGGATTGATTTTAATTTTTTGGAATGACTCTGACGTAGATGATTGAGAATCTTCACCAGAAAACTGAAACATCTTTATTTGGTTTTCCATCTGATCTGCTTACGTTCTGTATTTTTATCTTTATAGACCCTCATAAAGTCAGACCTCGCTATAATTCATCGGTTAGCCCTTTAGTTTAACCTGAAATATTTGGCAGTTAGTTCTTTCTTTTTCAATTTAGCTTTTTGCTGATTAATATTCAGATGATCAATATTATAATGTTGACAATTAATATTAGCTGTTAAAGTAACTGTAGCTTGTTTTATATATAAAGATTACACAGATCATCTTGACATCATTTAAAAGAAGTCTGTTATTTAGTAAACAATGGATTCAGGAGAATTCATAACTGACATCATGGAGGTGTAACTATATGTGGTTAGCGTTTTATTTTATCTTCTCATTCACAATTAAATACACACTCTCTTAATAAACTCTACAGGAGTGTAAAATCCAACCTTGTTATATGTTATTTTTTTAAATCGGGCCAAAATGATGGAGCCGTGGTTCAATGAAAGAAGTGATGGACTGACGTGGTAACCATGGTAACAGCAACAACCCAGGATCCAGAGAAAAAAAAAAACCTCAGGTGCTTCAAAGCTGTCGAGATATGAAGAATGACTTCCAGATGAAGTAAGTCTGATCAGCAAAGTAGGCAGGAGAAAGACTTAAAAAAAACGATCCGTCCCTCAGGGTTCCAGGGGCCGATGTCTCCATCAGTGTTTGGAAAAGGCAGGGAACACCTGGAGTCACACCGAGGTCTATTTAGAGACACTGTTGGACCTGATAGTCATGTCTCTGGACTGGAGAAAGCAGAGTACCCAGAAAGAACTCATGCATGCACAGAGATAACAAAGAACTACGCATGAATACCTAAATTAAAGAAATAACTTATTTCAAACAAAAATAAATCAAAGGTTTCCTGGTATAATGATGACAGCATGAAATTAAAAGTCAAGCTATGCTTTAGTATGAGAAGAACAAAAAAATGCATGAAGCTTAAATAGAAAGAGGAATGCAAACTGCATGTGACCTTTAAGGTCATTTAAATGTTAGAGTGTCAGAGCTGCCAGCGCAGCGTCTGCCTCATTATGGAGGATAAAAAAAGGAGAGTCGATGTGATCAATATTTACTGAGCAGCAGAAGAGGTCAGATCAATATGAGCTGCTGGAGAAAGTCCTCATGCATGTCATAAAACAGAAGAGTTGGACAACCTGTAAGACGGAGTGTCAAAGATTAGATTTGTTTTTATTTTCCAGGATGCGTCTCTGGAAAATGTATCGCATGACTCTTCAGGGGATCAATCATCTCAGCTGAGCTTCCATTCAGAAGAACAAGCAACTCCTGAACTGAAACAGAAAAGCTGCCTCTTTATAATTAATTCTGTGCTGCTCCTTAACAGAATAGATAAGAATCTGAATATTATAATATAATATATATCTCCTAAAATATTAACCTTTGATTTTCTTATATGAAGGTAAATGAATGCTTAAAGCTAGCAACTAATCAGACATTATTTTTTTTTTGGAAATGATTCAAACTGAAAACAGAGTTGGGTAGACGCCTTAAAACCTCATTACTTAATGTTCGACGTAAAGAAAGTGTACAGTAAATATGCCAGTTTGCTAAATAAGGTAATGAAACTAAATATATCTATTAACAAATGTATTCAGATTCTAATGGATCTGCCACCGGTAGGTGGCGCTGTATCTTCAATTTGCTGATGAATTGAGATAATTCGTTGACTTTAAGTTCGGATCCAGATTCTGATGACGCTGATCCTAAAAGGTCTTCAACATATCCCTGTTCTGCAGCTGATCATCACCCTCACTGTCAAACTTTAATGTATTTTAATAGTCAATGAAGTGCTAATCCATTATTAATAAACAATATGATTTAATTCTATTTAGTCTATTTCTATACCACCCATACACAACATTACACATTACATTTCACCAGATCATCCAGTCAGATTGATTCAAAGTTTTCTATCTAAGGAAATCCAGCTGATTGCATCGACTCATTGACTCTTCAGCAATCCCTCACACTAAGCATGCTTGTAGCAACAGTGGAGAGGAAAAACTCCCTTTGAACAGGATGAAACCTCCAGCAGAACCAGGCTCTATGTGAGCGGCCATCTGCTGTGGCCGACTGGGGTTCAAGAAGACAGAATCAGACATAGAAAAAGAAGCATAGATACAAAAGGCAACTGTCATCCAGCTCCACAGGCGGCCCCGTCCAGGAAACACACAGCCAGGCAGACGAGCTCCGAGCCAGCTCCCATGTCAGAGGATGAAG